GCAAGTGTGAAATGTTGACCGTTGCAACTAAAAAAGAACGGAGGGAGTATAACAGTGGCCATTTCATATTTGCATAATTGCATTGACCTTTTTATTTATACATACGATGCGCAGCGTGACATTTATCGACTCGCTGAGCATGACTATAAATACTTGAGTAAACTCCACTTTTGATCTTACGAGTAGTGCATCAATTTCACAATTAATCTACATCTTTGACTTTGATAATTTTTATACATGCCAAGTGCGTTTTCGCTCATATAAAATCAATGATGGTGGATCTAGAAAATATACTTATTGGGGACACGAATAGGTACACACGAATAGAGTGATAGAGAGAAGATCTCATTAAGCGGACCAAATGTTAGAATATATAGACTAGAGTCAAATGTTTATATTAGAACATAATGATCATACATATATACTAAGCATTTGTGCAAGTATTTTTGCAAATCCGCTTGCCAAAAATGAATAAGTGAGGAGGAGGCTCCTCTAGCCACGCCGTGGCTTGAGCCGTGTAATTTCATAAAACTCAAACTTATAGTCATGTAATCTCATAATCGATCATCAATTTGATAACAAATTTTTATATAAGTAATATTTATTATGTAGTATATTATATATGCACTACAAAAAAAACACGGAATTGGCAGAGATTTTGGCACTGATTTGACACCGATTTTGGCAGGGATACGCCAAATCCGTGCCAAAAACACTTTGGCACGAGCTATTTGGCACGAAAAATTGATAAGTCCGTGCCAAATTCCGTGTCAATCCCGCCTTTTCTTGTAGTGGTATATATTCAGGTGAGAGATGCACTCATGCCCTCATAATTATAAATGAAAGATTAACTTAGTTGCATAAAATTGTGGCATTATATGCATTTTAGACATATTCTCGTTCCAAATACTGGTCAGAAATCACCAAAAGTTGGGGTAATTTATGAGAAAGAAATGTTTAAATAAGAGATTTAATTAACATATTAATTGTGACATGTACCTTTAATAAATTGAAAAGTATGTTTTACAGTTAATATGAATAATTTAAGCATATAACTAAAATTTAATTACAGGAATTTGACATTCTAAACTCTAAAAAAATATAGACGTTAAAATCTGTAACTTTGATTTGAATAGTAATTTTATACAAATTATGTTAGTTTTGTCACATAATTATTGAATAATTGGTGATAGGTAATTAAATACGTACGTATAAGTTGTGAAATAATAGACCAGATTTGGTAACCTTTTTATTTGTGGTATCTAAAGTACTTTTAATACCATTATTAGCATTCTTACTTAATTGATTATCTAACCAACTAGAAAAAATCGCATTTAATAATGATAACATTTTTATACAACAACATCCAAGTCTTAGTCCCAAAAGATTTTGGGGTTGATTAACATGAATCGATCCATGATATCAATGCCAAAAAGAAAAAGACAGACAAGAAGAAGAAAAAAAGGAAGGGGAAAAAAGATAAGATAGACAGAATAAAGATAAATAAATATAAGATAACAATAAGATAAGAATATAGAAAAGATAAAAGATAAAAGAGCTAGACGATAAAAATAACATAAGAACATAAAAAGATAAGGAAAATAAATGACAAAAGAAAAAGAGAGATGAAAGATAGAAAAGAGAGCAATCGTTCACACGAATGTGCGCCCACTTTGCTCTCTCCAAATTAAGTCATACTCTCATCCAACCCAAGAAGACGCATATCAGTTATGATTCCTCTCATCCAAGACTGTTTGGGTCTTCCCTTTTCTCTACTCTGAGTTAAGTGTGGATCCGGGCCGGGCCCAGTCCGGGCCTAGGCCCGGTCGGGTCTTTTGTGTTTGGGGGAAGGCCCGGGACCGGCCCAGGTTGCCGCCGGGTCCGGGTCGGGTCGGGCCTCGGGTCACTTTGTATTTTTTTTTTCCTTTTTCTAATTAACCCGCCCCCACCCCATCACCCCCCCCCCAAACCACCCCAAATGGCCCAAAATACCCAGCCCAACCCGAGTTTTAAAAAAAAAAAATTGAAAAAAAAAATAAAAAAAAATAAAGCCCGAACTAGGCCCGGCCCGGCCGGTTCCATATTTAGCTGACCCGAGCCCGCCCTTCCCTAACCAGTGGGCCGGGCCTACCTGAACCGGACTGTAGCGGGTCACTGGGCCGGGCCCAAACAGCACTGGTCCCGGGCCGGTTCCGGGCCGGCCGGCGGCCCGACCAGAGTCCAAGACTGCTCTGAGTGACTGAGTCTCTTCTCCCCACCTTCAAGTCGTCTAACAAATGCATCGCTCGATCTTCTATGCACATGCCCAAACCACCGCAAACGAGACTCCTGCATCTTATCTTTTATATGCGCTACTGGCACTTTTTATTTAATTATCTCATCCCTCTAGCGGTCTTTTGTGGTACGCCCACACATCCAACGCAACATACTAAATTAATATTAAATTAATTCTATATTAAATTAATACTCCGTATCAGTTAAGGATGTTTGATTTAGTTTCATATGTATCTGATTTCTTCACCATTGTATGCTGTTTTGACCGATCCAATCTATATTAATTTAATTGGATGTTTGATCTAGAGGAATTCATTTAACTATTTTAGGGTGTAAAAAAACTACTGGGGGCATCCCAAGAATTTTGTTGGGGGCTAATTATTTTTCAAACAATTAATTGCTTCATTATATATGAAAAATTTGAAACTTTATTGGGGACACATGCCCCCGCTCCCAAAGCACCAGATCCATCCCTATATATGGTCATTTCATCAATGTTTTAGTGGTTAAAACAAAACATGCGGAATTGACACAAAATTCATAGAATCAAAAATCAAATTAATTCTATATACTTCGTATAATCATGTTTTTAACCCACTTATAATTGTAAAAGAAGACTAAAGATTTGGTAGAAGGTGAGATTCAAAATAGTGATGGACCGGTCCCGGGTCAGGACCGGGTCAGGACCAGGTCCGGCTACGGGCGGGTCCGGGTTTGGGAAATAGAGGGCCAGGACCGACCCGACTATGTTCCGGGACCGGGTCGGCCGTCGGGTATGTATTTCTTTTTTTTTTTTTTTTTTTTTTGGGGGGGGGGGGGGGGGGGGTTTCTTATTTATTCTTACCCTCCACACACACCCCCCTCTCCCAAACACCCCAAACCACCCAACCCACCTCTTACCCAAACTATTCGGGAAAAAAACCAAAAAAAAAAATAAAAATCGAGCCCGGACCAGTCCCGCCCCCAAACCCACCCGATCCGGGCTTGTTCCACACAGTGGCGGTCTGGTCCAGGTACCGGTCTTGGGCCATCCCTAATTCAAAACCCACCTTTCATAGATTTAAATGTTTTATTTTCAGCTTTTCTGGATATTGCGGGTTTCAGCGGGCCACGTCAGGCCGGGTCACAAGTTTTTCCCGTTTTTTCCCACATTTGCAGGTTAGTAGTAAACCAGACCAGGTTAAGTGCCAGGTCGCTCGGTTCCTGGCTGACACACCCAGTCCGGGTAGGTTCTCACAACATAGGTTTTTGGTAGGAGGGTATGGAGGATATAAAAATTAAAAAAGAATTAAAAAAATGGCACCAGAAAGTAACTGAAATTGGAAAAAGAGGTTACAGTTCCGATTTTCCTACTCCACCAAGACAAGCCGGCCCAGGACCAGAACTAACCTATAACCAGACTAGATCCACTCATCCACCCCTAGTACTATCACTGCTTAATTGCAAACCAAGAATTTATAAGATTATCCCAACTCAAACTTGAGGATTTCCATCTGCATATACATTTATACATGATACCTCGAACGGGTAAATCGTTTTTTTAATAAACGGGCAATACAATAAAGCATGACAGTGGCCGCAGAGAGCAATGGGATGATATTTTTGTAAGGTTGTAGAATAATTGATATTTGATCAATCCTGCAGTGACACTACATGAACTACAGACACTACAGTAGTGTCTGTAGTCTTATTTGAGGAAACTTGTCACATTTTCCTCATACCTGGGAAACTTTCCCTAAAAACAAAACTGCCATAACAATATCAGTGCATAAATAAGTCAATAACATAGTGATAGGGCCGGACTAGAGGAACATTGGTATCTGCAACTCTGCTAGGCTTTATCCCGGGCCTTATTAGCCCCTTAATATATATATATATATATATATATATATATATATATATATATATATATATATATATAGAGGCCTGATCCTGTCCAGCCGGAGGGACAGGACCCGCCGTCCGGCCGGCGGCGTTTGGCCGCCTTCCCGGTGGAATTTTTTGATGAAATTTTTATGGCATGTTCTCCATCAAGTCTAGTTTATCCCCAAAAAAATTCAGCCAAAAACTCAATCGGGAAGGTCGTCAAATTATTTTTGCAAGTTAACTGGTCCGGAAAATACATATTCCGGACCAGTTAACTTGCAAAAATCATTTGACGACCTTCCCGATTGAGTTTTTGGCTGAATTTTTTTGTGGATAAACTAGACTTGATGGAGAACATGCCATAAAAATTTTATCAAAAAATTCCGCCGGGAAGGCGGCCAAACGCCGCCGGCCGGACGGCGGATCCTGTCCGGACGTCCGGACAGGATCATTTGTGTGTGTATATATATATATATATATATATATATATATATATATATATATGCAAGTATACATTATTTTGCATCTAAAAGACTTTAATACATTATTTTGCATTAATTCATAGGAGGAAAATGTCAAGTGCGACTTGAGCTGAGAAATAAATAATATAGCAGACCGACAGTATTCATTTAGAGCAACTTTGGTTGGAAGGTGCATGTCAGAGTCTGGGTAAGCAGTAGCAGCTATTCTAACTTGACGGCCAAACAAAAAAAATTTACACCATATTGGTCAGCGTATGAGACAATTGACTCTTCAGCTCTATCATGTCCAAAGTACACTAAGCATTTATTTTATAAATTAATAAATAATAAATTAATGATAGTAATTATTATAATACTAATTAATAATATTAGAGAGGAGTTTTAGCTTGGGGCAAAGCTCGTGATAACTTTGATTTTAGGATCAGAATTGGATGGACAAAATGGGAAAAGAAAGTGCAGTTGAAGGCTTTAAGTTGGGTTTAATTTGAACTGATGTATAAAGCTTCGAGACATGCCCACACAAAGTTAATACATAAAGTCCAGCTTTCCTAATTCATAACAATTACTTGTTGTTCATACATAACTCGAGGATTAATTGCATGTGGTGTTGCTCGAAGTCAATGACCTTAACTGCAAAAAGATGGAGATCATTTTAAGAAACAGCAATGAAATGAAAGTCTATGTTGCAAGTCATTTAAGACTCCAAAGTAAATTACCTTTTCCAGCAAATCTGTAGCGCCTGATAAATCTACCTTATCGTTCTTTAAGAAGTCAATACGAGAACTGATAAGTTTCTTCCGCTCTTCTGCCTACAAAAAGAAATACCCCGGGGTATTTACAATTGACGATAATTTGAAATAAAATCTTACCGAATCTATACTAAATATGAAATATATGTAAGGTCATATATCCATTCAGTTAACTTTTCCTTAACTGATTACAAGGAATCCAAAACAACAAGCCCATTTGGAGGCCTGATTTGGCCTATTCTGCTTAGCAGAATGTGTAGCCTTTTACTTACTTATTTCTCTGAGAAAGCTATTACCAAATCTTTTTCCTTTCAGAAAATTCAACAGACAAACTTGCAGCCAAGTAACACTCACGAAACAAGCTCCTTGTGTTCCTAAACTACATTGTTAGGTTATTAATTCAGGCAATGTAAACAGTTTTAGACGGTTAAATATATGATTAATATGCATGTTAGGTTTAAATTTCTTCTTAATAAAATGAGGGCCCTATGTATATTATATAAGTGTGGACTTAAGCGCCCTCCTAATGACAAGTATGCCTTCTTGATTAAAATAATTATTATTTACTTCTTTTCACATCACATCTGTTTGATCATTTCTGCATCAAGATTCATCTCATCTTCCCTTTCTTAAACCGCGACACCTTTATTTATTCCTGCCAAGCCATAATCAATGACAGACAATCTCCTCCTTTAAAATCAACTTTAATGTTGAAACTGATATTCCAGTACCCTAAGTTTTAATTTTCTTCAGCAGGTTTGAGTTTCTTAATCAGGTCGTGCTTTCAACTGTGTTCGAATTATTTATTTATTTATAGATTAGTGAATTATACTTTTCCATTTGGCACATGATATCAGGTGTTAAATAAATCCAAACTTTTCCACACAAAAAACAAATGACCATTCAAAAGGAAGTTAGTTTCTTTTGAAATTATAAAGTCCTTGTAGATGAAGGGTGGAAGGAAGACTCAAGAGGAAACATGGTAGGACAAATGAAAGTGATGCCAGCGGTGCAGTCATTATTTGCTAAAAGAAAGAAGTTTGTTTTGGACATTTTAAAGTTAAGACATAACTCATTTGATGTGAATTAAACATTTGTTAATTAAGCAATTTTTACTCAATTAACGCGGAAATTAGTAAGCACCGCTTACTAAGAAGTGAACTAAACATTTAATTTAGTGTATTTTTAAAGTGCTCTTAAGTTACTATTTCTATGCAAACCCGATGATATATAACCACTTAACTACATGCTCTTTGTTTTCTAATACGTGTTTACTAGTAAAAGTTTATATTTTGTGCAGATTCGGGCACATATAGTTACTCGGCTATACATACTCTCTATTTTCTAATAAAAGTTTATATTTTGTTCATCAATAATTGGTCAGTTAGCAAACTCGATACAATAGGCTAAATGGTTGGGTTGTCTGTTATCCTCCATTCCTTCCCTAATTGTGTTACTTTTGATTTTTCTAATACATTGGGGCTAAGACTTTGATGTTGTTGTTGTACACAAGTCATTGGGATGTGTGGTAGATCGCGGATTCGTGGTAAAAATATATATACCTTAAAAGCAATATTTTCCATTAACAAACACTTATTTTAAGAATGAAGAGACCAAATCTTGTTCCCTCGACTTTCATCAAACTCTTCATATGTGTAGCACTTGCCCAACAGACATTAGAAGTTGAGTCTAATCAGCTGTCATAATCCTTCATCTCATCTTATGTGGCAGACTTACTCTTGTGCACATTCCAAATTGTAACCCATACATTATGTTTGTTGGGCAACCAGCTACCGTGAGCACATTTATTGGGCTTCCTGGAATAAAAACTGTTTTCCTCTGAGTGAAGGTGGGTTTGCCCTAACAAACTTGATCATCCATAATCAGGTTTTTATTCTAAAAAGCGGTGGAACTTCAGGAATCTAAAATCCATCAGTACACAAGTTACTTAGAAGTTAGAACAAGTACTGTAGAAAGATCACTGCTCTCACCTGTTCCCTAAACAAGAATATTACCCCATCAGGAAGAGGCTGCTATAAGCTGGAAAACTAATAACATATAATGTAAAAAGGACATCGGACAAGGAAATGTTGATCTCTAGTTGGATAGTTGGTCTATCTTTGAATTGTGAATAAGGACAAACCTAATGAAGGCCTAAGCTCTAATGGGAACTCAATAGTAAGAGCTACGATAGCCTCTTAAGACAGAAACGAAGCACATTAGTCTCTTATAAGTTTGTCTGGCATGATATGTATTAATGTTCATCCCAAAATATCCTTTTCTCTTCTGGAGATTGTTTAATGGTAGGGTTTCAACGGATTAGATTATCCAACAGATTTGAGATGCCATTAGCTTCCAAATGTAACTGCCATAAAAATTTTGAATCTCTGGAAGTCTGGAACATTAATGGTCTATTTCTCAGAAAGTGAACGAGTCTGGGTATGCTCCTAAAGTCCTAATCTCTTTTTGGAATATCCCATCCTGATTGTAGCTGCTTTAATTAATTTTTTTGTAATGAATTTTGAAATGTCCTGGGGCTAACCGGCAGAACGCTTTTCTACCAATGCTTACTGCGCGGTACATCCTGAATGCTAGAAATAACTCTAAACACAGGGGCAACAAAATAAAGTGGAAAATATGATTGTGAACGTCCAGAATATGTAGAAGAGACCAGCCGGTACTTAACTACTTTCTATTCAGAAACCATTGAAGGTTAGAAAGTGATCAAAACCTGAACTTAATTGGATCAAATTAATACATGAGTGATATGGAGCAGATCGATCCTGCGAGTCAGCAGGGGGGTGCGAACGAAGAAGATGTTGGGGTGTAGGCTTCGGCCCATTTAGATCTGGGAGCCAAATAAGCAGTAAGCAGCAACTAGAAGTGCAGCTAGCCGTAGCTAGATGTGCAGCCAGTCCTAGTTGGGCCTGTTTTTGGGTGGCAGTCAGGCCCAGAGTTTAATTAAAAGTTTACCCTAATTGTTTGCCTATATATACTGCCTCCTGTACTTGTAAACGATCGTACTGTATTTTCATCACCTCAATAAGAAAGAAAACCCTAGTTGCCCCCGTGGATTAGGTAAGTAACATTTACTGGCTGAACCACGTTAAATTCGTGTGCCGTTCTTCTCGTTTTTTTTATTTTCTTTCTACTATTGTTCAGATCCGTGTGTGAGAGCTAGAGATACTAACCCTAACAACTGATATCAGAGCCCAGGCTCGTTTGGTTACACTCTAGCAGAAACCCTAACTGCTGAAACCCTAGCCGTCCACCCCAGAAGCTGCACCTGCGCCGATCGCTACGAAACTGTTGTTCAGTGATGGCAGAAGATGGTAAGGTCAGAATAGACAAGTTTGAGGGCCATGATTTCGGTTTCAGGAAGATGCAAATCGAGGACTACCTATACCAGAAGAAGCTACATGAACCGCTGTCTGGTATTAAGCCCACAGAGATGCCTCAAGCTGACTGGGATTTGCTTGACCGTCAAGCATTGGGTGTGGTTAGGTTATCATTGGCAAAGAACGTTGCGTACAACATTGTCAATGAAAAAACTACTCATGGATTACTCAAAGCGTTGTCGAACATGTATGAAAAACCTAGTGCATCGAATAAGGTTTTTCTGATTAGACAACTGTTTCCTATTTTCAGTTTATTTCTTAATATGAGTTTTACCTTAATTAGGAGAAGTAGTCTTTTTATACTCTAGAAGGGGTTATTCGAACCATTGCTGATTATTAATAAAATTGGTGTGTTTAAGCTTTAAGCTTTGGCAACGGTTGCTACCGTTGATTGTTATTTTCTGTTCTTATCAATGGGTCACTAAATATGATAATAAAACAGATGAGTTATTAGAGACCATGAAGGGAACTCTATTTTTGTTCAAGCAAAGATTATGACAGATGTTCTGTCATTAGTGCTGATCTTAGAGCAGTGGCATATGGATTAAAGCTTTGTATTGCCAGGGGCTTCTACAAAAATTTGTTGAAATTATTATCCAGACGCTACTAGAAAAAATGCTATTTGCTGCGGTCATTTTAGCCTATTTGTTGCGGTTCTGAACCGCAGCAATTGGCAGCGCAGCAAATAGTAGGGATAGGTATTTGCTGCGGTTCGGAACCGCAACAAATAGATAATTTAAAAAAATCATCTATTTTTTGGGCTAGAGTTGCTTGTTCTATATGCAGCAACCACAACTCTTCAGTAGAATACAGCTTATGTATTGCAGGAAATCTAGGTTGTGTTTGGACTTATGGAAAATAGAAATATCAAGATTACTGATACATACTCCCTCCGTCCCCCTATTATTGGGATGGAAGAAAGTGGTGTGATTTTTAAGAAAAGTAGAATTATGTGGTTGATAATGATTTGATAAAGTGAGAATAAAGTAAGAAAGAATTAGAGTCACACAAAAGTTACCAAATAGGGTATGGGACAATAATAAGGGGACATCCACAAATGGAAAAATGGGACAACTAAGAGGGGACGGAGGGATTACATGAAAAGAAACCCAAGTTATGAGTTCCCTAGCTACAGTCCTTGAGAAGGCAATAGATAGAACTTGTGAAATGTTGATTTTGTTTGACAAATAAGGTTACCCTAGCTAGAAAACTTGTTAAGTTGTGCTACTCTGTAACTCGTTGTTCTCATAAGTCATAAGAATATCTTTTCTTTTTAAAATGAAGGGTATTGTCAATGAGTTTTTTCCGTATTAATGTTAAATAAAAAAATATTTACGAAATTGGGGTCCAGTTAAAGACTTAAAGCTATTTACCAATATACTGCTGGAACTAACTATGATCAATGAAAGTCGCCAAATGAAACGGCGACTTACAAATCGCCACTGGGTTTGGCGATTCTTGTATACAACCGAACAACACCTTTACGCACCAAGGGTAGCAGGTGAAATAAAAAAGTGGGGCCCATGATATAAAAAATCACATTTTTTCCTTCAAGGTCTATAACTTTTTCTTTTTTGCTTCAATTTTTTTAAAAAATACATCAAAATTCATAACTTTTTATTCTCTTTCATATGACACCAATATTGAATATATAAATTTTTTAAAAAAATTGAATGCCTATTAAACAATTTTCCTATTTTCTAATATCCATATGGATTATTTCTTATAGAGTATTATATATTAAAAAACAATTCCTATTATTTTATGAAACTAAAGATATGGGATGAATACGTGACTTGGTAGATATGATTGTGTTTAAATTTTATATTACTGTAGCTGTAAAAGTGTACTCCTAATCAATTTAGAGCCCGTTTGATAGTTATCTGTTTGATGAAAAAGTTGCCTAATAACTTCGCACACTGAATTGTGTAAAAATCAAAATAAGTTAGATCGCAGTTATTTTTCTGGCTAAACTTTTTGAATTACTATATGAGACCATTTTATTTATTTTTCATATAAATTTTTCATTATTTTATTATAAAATATATTTTAAATCTAATTTTTTAATATTTTAAGCGTAATCATCCAATTAAATCTAAATTTATGTAGAATCAATTTTTTCGTTAGTTACAAGTTTTTTACTTCCTCCATAATGCCACCAGAGAATTAATAATTTTAGTTTCAAATCCACTTTGATTTTTCTTTAATTGTTCATCCCGGAAGACCTATTTTGGCTTATTGATTTCTGGGAGACTTAAAAGACATGATCATCAAATAGACTCTAAGAGCTTGTTTGGAAACACTGTTATTCGTCTTATCAGGCTTATTAGCCAACTTTTCACCAAACACGTAATTTTTGGTTTCACGCGTTGAAGTGTGTAATAATAAGAAAAAGTAAGGTTGAAGTTACTTCTCTGCCTGTTTCGGCTGAAGTTACTGTAGAGGAACATTTTAGGTATTTTTACATTTAATTTTTTCTTTATTTTATTAGTAAAATATATCTTAAATCAGCCGAATCGGCCAATACAACCACTTAAGCCAGAACTTCATAAATTTTAGCAGGATCAGCCGATTCACCCAATTTCAGTGTTACCAAACAGGCTCTAAATTGATTATGAGTACACTTATAAAGCTACACTAATATAAAATTTAAACACAATATAGTCTACCAAGTCACGTTTTCATCCCATATCTTTAGTTTCATAAAATAATATGAATTATTTTTTAATATTGTATTCTATAAGAACTAATCCATATGGATATTGGAAAATAAGAAAATTGTTTAATAAGCCTTCATATTTTAAAAAAAAATTATATATTTAATATTGGTGTCATATGAAAGATAATAAAAAGTTATCAATTTTGATATATTTAAAAAAAATTGAAGCAAAAAAGAAAAAGTTATAGATCTTCAAAAAAAATGTGATTTTTATATCGAGGGCCCCAGTTTTTTATTTCACTTGCTTCCCTTGGTGCATAAATGTGTTGTCCGGTTGTATACAAGAATCGCCAAACCCAGTGGCAATTTGGAAGTCGCCGTTTCATTTGGCGACTTTCGTCGACCATAGTTAGTTCCAGCAGTATATTGGTAAATAATTTTAACTGGAAAAAAACTCATTGTTCATTGCCCAAACGTGGGAAATCATACTTACCGATCACAAGCTATCCCTTCATTCACATTTCTCATTTCCTAAACCACCCTAGCAAGCACTCCCTGATTCCTCAAAATGTTATCTACTTAAGCACTTGCACAAAGTACACGCCTTGGCACATGACAATTTTTGTGTGGTTGTGTTCACTAGTTGAATTTCAATCAAGCATATAATAAGGTATACCTTATTATAAATCAGCAAACAAAAGTTTCAGTAAGCCGTCATGCTTACCTGTTCCACCATGCCCATCAAGCGGTTGACCTCAAGCTTTTTTATTTCTAACAGATGCTTCAGCACTTCTTCAGAAGAATTACTCCTGTATAAATGATTATATTACTTCATGCAGATAAAGCAAACCCTTTTGCAGTATGTTCTAATTGACTTGCCCTTAGTGTATTCCTTTTCGACATTTTAGAATCACTATAACTTAAAACTCATAATGCATTTCTAGAGTCCTTACTGATATGAGGCACCTAACAATTCATTCATTCATGAAATTAGTATGATATCAACAGAAGATAATCCATCAATGAGTTTGTCAAGTGAACAATACAAGATTTTTCATACATCAGGTATGATGTACTGGAACTAAAATTCCTTGGGAAAAGGAAAAGAGTGATATGAAATTGTATCTGTTTTGTAGGTAGGAATGACATGAATAACAATTTAAATTCCTGTCCTTGGTTAGGTTGATATGGACTGCAATTGGAAGGAATTAGTACTATAATGCGTGTAAAAAAGAGAGTCCATATTCCATATTTACTTTACAAATTTAGAATTCAGCTGAATTGAAATATGGGGGGGTCTAGAAAACCAAATCCTTTTTTATATGGAATTTGAATCCCTTTGAAAATGGAATTCTCTGTATGAAACCGTCAAAAAGAGGTTCCCATGAGAATACGAAAAAAGAGAATTAGCTTTCCAGCCTAACAAACAAGCCGTAATAGATGACACTATGAGTCTATAAAAGATTACAGACCTCAACTTCTTAGTTAGTGGAGAAGTATGGAGCATTTACAAAAAAAATGCAGCCAAAATAAACTTTCCCCTGCTTTACAAATCAAACCAATTGCATTAACCATAGACAGATGAGTGTATATCTTAAAGCCTAAAGATGATTACTTTAGTGGGTCCAAGCGATGCTCTTCCACAAGAAGTTCCACAGTATCAAGAACTTTTTCTACCTGTAAACGAATAAGAAATCCACAACATTGTGATCAGTCACGTTAAACACTGAAAAAAAGAATGAATGACTAAATGGGACATTTATCAGTTAATTTAAAAAAAAAAACTTAAGAAAACAGAATCCTTCCTTGAGATCTTGACATTGAGAACGAAGAACGCAACAACAATGCAACTCAATAAATATGAATGTTCAGTTACAAAAAAAATACCTCTTTTTCCCGGCAGATATCTTCAAAGTCTATCTGCAAAGACAGGATGATGTTAGGGCACAACAATTTTGTATTTTCTATTGCTGGAAAATAATGTTGGTTGAACAGTATGCAACGACAAAACAAACCAAGAAAAACAATAGGAAAGTGGAGTAATTAAGCAAGCCCGTAATGTTACTAAGACTTCTCACCTGAGTTTAGGAGCACATAATAGTATCTATCAAGGAACAATTATCTCTAGGAAGTAAAGTTTCAAAAGATTACAGCAACTAATAGCAGTCATAATAAATTGGAAAACAGCAGAGTATGTAGAATCTTCCCACAAAATTTCTATCAACAAGCTGATATCCATCTCGAGCAGAAGAAAGCATACTGGCAAAGTTTGATAAACATAGATGCCTTATGGGAGAAACTTTAATAAGGGGCACTGTCATTGTACTTTTAACTGAACAATAAATGAAGTGTACAGACAAAGGAAATTGTGGGATAAACAAACAAACACATTGCATATTACAGGTAGAAGATAGAACTAAGCATTCAAATGTTCAAAGAACACAAACCCCTTAAGTGTATATAGTTCACCCTTCAACCTCTCAATGCATATTTTCTAAGTAATTAGCTGTTAATGGACAAATTGCTAACAAACAAAGGCAACCATAATTACTAGCACTAAACATATACTACAATGTAACAAGAACACGTGTGTATATTTATTTATTCATGAAGTCATAAACTACAGGCTCAAAACAGCCTAGCATATATTTGGTCTCAAAATGAAATTTTTATGAAGTACTGAATACAAAGATTGTTGGCGTACCTCGATACTTTCTTGAATAGAAGAAGCAACCTGAAAACAATTCTTATCAATAAAACTTCAAATGTCTCCAGACTACTCAATTAACATGAAGATTAAGATGAAAAGAAAAGAAAAGAAAAGAAAAGAAAAGAAAAGAAAAGAAAAGAAAAGAAAAGAAAAGAAAACGAGGAAATTTTTTTATCTCAGGCCTAAACATTCGTGTCAGCTCAAACTTTAAAAACTCTGAAATTTCTTCACATTTTAAAAGTAAAAATCTCAAAATGGAACAAAGAAACGGAAAGAAACAAGACGAGATAGAACAAAATACCTGCGTAAAGAAGTGATGAATGTATTCCTGCTCCCTTGGGCTGAAGCTTGAGAAAGCTTTGCGGAAGTCCTTTTGCAAATGTCCAAATAAATAGGTGAAATCAAAACATTAGCATCACACAATTATACGAAATATAAGCTAGAAATTCTCCACTTGGGTTTGAACCGGAAAATCAATATACCTCCTTGGAACACGCAGCGAGAGACGCTTGTATTCCCAATCTGAAAGATTTCTTCAGACTCATCTGTCTCGTCAATTGATTTACCCCTTCGTGATCCATTCTCTCTAGCAGAAGAGACAAACTATACAGTAAAGTGGTATTGATTGAACGAATAATCAGTGTTGGGATGAACTAGGACGGAATGCCCACACCCCAACTTACAAAAACTCTCATGCAATTTAGCGACCCCAATTTCAACGTTATCTTCCGTTTTTCAGGCTGTCATCAAAAATATCAAAAATGTGTTCCTTTCATTAGTTCATACGGTTGAGAGGATGAAAGAAAAACGAGTTAACCAAAATTAGAAATTTGAATTGAAATTGATTTGCTCACTTGCTCTGTGGAACTCGCAAAGACAATGGGAAAACAGAAAAATTATTGGAGAAATTACATGCGTAAATTACGGACTGATTATGGAGCATCAGCCGAACCGAGCCTCGAGCCGAATCGAGTTGAACCGAGCCTTTTGCGAGTCGAGTTCGAGCCGCGATTTTGTAGGCTCGTTCGAGCCGAGCCCGAGCTCGAGCCGATGCTATATATTTTGAGCTCGAGCTCGAGCCTGTAGAAAATCGGGCTCGGCTCGGCTCGTTTGCACCCCTAGCGTAAATACAAGCTCTCTCAAAATTATAGAGGCGGACATAAAATCCGAACCGAATCATTACCGAACCATCCCGTAATGTTTAAAATAATACAATAATAAATATACATAATATAGAAAAAGAATATAGGAAATATATAGTAAATATATTTCTCTCGTTCTTTTTTAATTGTAACATTCTCTTTTTATATTTAATTTGATTGTCATTATATTTAATTCTCCATTAGTAAAAACTTTTAAGATTCAGATTATGAAACTTTGTAATGAGACGAATTCAACAATATTTTTTAAAAAACATAATTCACATACATTATAATAAAATGTAGTCAAAGTAGAATACATGAATAGTGTATAAATTCCAATGTTGCAACTATTATGATACGGAGAATAGTATGTATGCTGAAAAAATTTAATAATGGTAATAAGATTAAGTTAATAATGTATTGATATATAATTTTTCCCAAAAAAATCATAATGTTTGGGCTTAAATGAATAACATATGAACATAATGTTTATATAAAAATTTAAAAGTATGATCCATAGGTCAAATAAATACTTAAAAATATGCAGTAGTCATTTAATATACTTAGTAGTAATAGTGAGCAATAGTAAAGAATAGTCATTATTCTAATTACTATTAATAAATAATTGCAGTATGAAAATATGTAGTATAAGAAAAATGAACGAATGCATTACCACACTAGCACATGGTCGAGATGTTTGGATGTCTTCATGCTGAACTTGAAGTCCAGGGATTGAATCCCGTGGGTGTTTAAGATTTTAATGAATGAATTCATTCACCAGGTCCGGGTTTGGTGTAAAAATGCGGGTTTACTGGATTTTCACCAGTCCGGGTCCGTCGGGTTTTGGCGGGCTACCGGTTATTTCCGGTTTTACCCACATTTGCGGGTCTACAGTCATCCAGACCGAATCGGTGACAAGGTCCCGGTTTGAACCGGCCGGTCCTGCCGAGTCTCGTAACACATAAATTACTACACAAATTATGCAAGCTCTTTTAATATTGCCTCTGTAAATTAGTAATTCCTTTAAAAAGGTAGAATTTTCTACAAAAAATTTTGTGTTAACAGACACTGTATAAGTTGTGTACAAATTTCTTGTACAATGAGAATTACCCAAAATACTTTTAGGCCAAACAAATTGTTAACAAACGTGAGTCGTGGGGGACCTAGGGGAGGGCAAGTGCTCAACTTCTGATATCAAACTTTTGTCTCTACCTAAACAAAAAATACTATTCTGTATTATATAGGAAAATAATTTCGTCAAAGAACATACGTTAATTATAACGAGAAATTTAAACAATCACGTTATTGTGATGAAGTGATTCCTTACGGCTAAAAATGTTATTGATGCCATTACACTTTGAAACAATTATAAGTACAATTTATCTTTATCCAAAGTTAGAGAACAAAGAATGAGAAAGCTCCAAGTATGCTGGATAATCTTTATGGATGAAAGAATTCTATCTTGAAAAAAATTGTACACGATATGCATTCATTGTTTGTCTCACAAATTGAAATTATTTTTGTCAAGGATTGTACACGAATTAGTATAATAATATCAAATTTGAACCAAAGTTGTGCAAACGCAGTTTGCAATGACATGCAAAATTATCACATGATCTTGACTAAAAAACGTGCAATTTGTGATAAATTAGTGTTAGACCCGGCCCTTTTGGTTTTTGTAATGCAATATGATAAAAGTTTGACATGGTAGTATTATTTTTAAACAAATAGCAACACATTTTGTGGCACAATGTGCAGCGTTAGACATGATCCTAATCCAAAGTCATAAACGATACAAGGACGATGGATTTCTGATCCAAAATATATTTTTCTATAAAAAGTGTTATATTACTATTTGTCTTAATGGTTCAAAACTAGATTTAAAATTCATAGATGTAAATGGATTGAAACCGAGATTAAATAATTTATTTCTGATTACAAATAATAATCTGCACGGGTTAGACGTAATAGACAAGTGACCCTTCCACCTTAACAAAACTTATGGATCCTCCACTGCACGTGAGTACCAATACTACATTTGGGGTTTTCACACAAACAGTATTTGTAGACAAAAAAATTGTGGCTGCGTTTGTAGGGAAATTATCTAAGAGAAAGATATAACCACAACATTCATAATTTTGTCTACAAAAATTTGGGCATACAAAACTTTTTTAGACAAATAAAATTTGTCTTCCAAGTGCTTTTACCTCAACGTTGTTCGTAGTTTCAAGATATGTTTTCCAACAATAATTTATTGTATGGGAAAAAAAATTGTAGATAAAATATATTTTTCTCTACGAATATCTTTTGTAGAAAGAGCTATTTATAGGAAGAATGTCCTTTTTGCTACAAATAAATTCTTCTATGGTGAGTCGTGGTAAGAAAATGACATCACACGAGGACTATTTGTGGTTAGTTTCGTCACAAGTGATTTTCTAGGAGAGTAGTTTATTGTCTAAAAATATTTGTCGTTGCAAAAAATTGCACACAAAAGATTTCATAATGATAATTATGATATAACACGCCACATACTAATACTAAAAATCATTGTGCCACATAAATTTCAAGCAAAGAATGTGCATAATAGAGTTTAATAACTCCATATCAAACTAAGACCTTATCGTTGAGTGCTAATACTATCCAAAAAATCATATAAACTGAAACGAAAGTGAAATCTCAAATAAAAGAATAAAAAATGTGTTGGTTCTTCTAAATGTCCTTTTAAAATAACTTAATAACATCATATATATGATCAGAATAGGACTGGAGAAAACCATATTGTTTAAGAGAGGCAACAAGCTTAGCGAAACAACAACGTGGAGCCTGACGGAGACCATAAAGGGATTGTTTAGGCGACATACAAGTCCTGGCCGTGACTACGAGAAGCCAGGTGGGGGCCACATGTAGACTTCCTCGGCTAAATCGCCATGAAGGAAAGCGTTGTGTACATCCATTTGGTGTAGCTCCCAATTCTGAGTACCAGCCACAACAACAAAAAATCCGTATCGTGACCATTTTAGCCACAGGGGAAAATGTTTCAGTGTAATCAATAACTGCTTCCTGGTGATTCCCAAAAACAACCAGTCGTGCTTTCAGACGTTCAACTGTGCCATCGGATTTATATTTAATTTTGTAGACCCATTTACACCCGGGAGCCTTTTTTCGAGAGGTAGTGGCTCCATATCCCATATATGATTATTTTCAAGGGCCTGAATTTCATTTTGCATAGCGGAACATCACCCAGAGTCAAGCATATCTCCCCTGAACGAACGAGATTCGTGACCTGCAAGAATAGCTTCAAGAAACATGTCGTGACAGTTAGAATACTTATCACACGACACATAATGAGTAATAGGATATCACGCACATGAGGAGCTGATGAAGGGTGTCGACGGAGATGGGCTTAAGTTCTGGACATGATGGGCATCATAAACACACAACAAGACCGATGGTCGTTTAGACCACATACCACGACCAAGCATAGAGCTGTCAGGATAAGTATCAACCGGGGGGGTTACCGTATAGACCTGTCCCCGGTTCGAAACCGAACTAGAACCAGAACCGAACCGGCGGTTCTCGGTTCACCAAATGCTCAAACCCTAACCAGAACCTTGAAGGGCCGGTTCAAGGCGGTTCCAAACCGCCGGTTCTGGTCCGATTCGGCATTTTTTAAATAATTTATATTTATTTATTTAGGATATTTGTATGTATTTAATTAAAACATTTGGATATAAGAACAATACTTTGTGAATCAAAGACATAAATTGTGATATAAAAAACATTAATAATGTCATACAAATCTTTGTAACTTATTTATTTTTAATAAATTTGAGCTTGGTGAATCAAATTAAAACATTATATTTATTTAGGATATTTATATGTATTTAATTAAAACATTAAGATATAAGAACAATACTTTGTGAATCAAAGACATACATTGTGATATAAGAAACATTAAAGATGTCATACAAATCTTTTTAACTTATTTTTAATATAATAACTTATAGAAATCAATTTAAAAAAAAATCAAAAAATCCGGTTCTGAAACGGAATCGTTGGTTCCCTTAAACCGAACTGCCTCCCTTAGCCGCAGATTCGGAACCTTGGCCGCAGACCGGTTCCGGTTCGAAACCTCCGGATTTGGTTAAACTAGAAACTGGGGACAAGTCTAGTACCGTAGAATGAGTTTGACCAACCACATTTTCTCGAGGAACTGGTTCGGATGTGTCAAAAATAGTTGGGACATCGGGCACTATGTCATGTGCAGGTAACGCCACAGATGAGTGCGTAGAGGAACCGAAGAAAGGAAACACATCTTCATGGAACTGTACGTCCCTCGAGACATATATATCCCAGTTTTCAAATTGTGAGCGAAAGCTAAGCACCCAAAAATGCGTAGCTGAAGGAAGTTTGGTGTTTTCCCAGTAAAAATCTCATATGGTGTTTTGCCCTCCAAAAGTTTCGAGGGTATGTACGGTTAATGAGATGAACCGCCGTGAGCACACACTCACCCCACAAAAAAAATTGGAACATTAGCCTGAAACATTAGTGCGCGAGCAACGTTCAAAATATGGTGGTGCTTACGCTCCACCCTACCATTTTGTTGGGGTGTGTGAACACACGACGTCTGAAAAATGATTCCATGTTGCTCAAAATAAGGTAATAAACATTTGAATACGGATTATCACTTCAAATGATCTTGACGGGAACCTCGAATTGTTTTCCAATCATAACAATAAAAGAAAGAAAAAATCTATATACATCCTTTTTGTCACGAAGCAGATAAACCCACACAACCCTTGAATAATCATCAACCAGAGTCATGAAATAAACAACATCACAAATAGAGAGGATTTTATAAGGACCCCATAAATCACATTGAATTAATTCCAAAATTCTACTTGTTTTATTACTACTAATGGGAACCTCGGATTATTGCTTTTTAGAAACCGAGTTGGCCACCTAATTGCCGACTAATCGGCGCCTAGTCTGCCTAGGCGCTAGGCGGTGCTTGACCGCCCAACTAGCGCCTAGCGAATCTTAGAACAACCAGTCCAACGACGGCACTGCTGGTCCATAGGCTACTCAAGACAATTGTAGTTATAAAAACAACCAGCAGTTCCATAATTCTAGTTATAAAAACAACTACCTGAAGAAAATGACTAAAGATGAAGACTTTAAGCTGCTCAAGATCCAGACATGTGTGCTCATGCCTGAGAGTGAACATACATTGTGATGGGTGTAAGCAGAAAGTGAAGAATATTCTGCATAAAATTCAATGAGTTTACCAGGTCAATTTAGACAATGAACAACGGAAAGTGACAGTTTGTGCGAGCGGAGACGCACCAACAGAATAACAACCAGAATAACAACAAAAATCAAAGTAACATGCTCTGATGAAGCAACTTGAAGCTATCAAGAACCAGCAGCAGCAGATCAACACCAATTTCCCATTCTAGGCAGTGTGATCAGATGGAAGCAGGAGGAGAAGAGTAAGGTGTGGAGAAGCTTAGGTTTTTCAGAGAACAGGCTGCTCAACGGGTTGGGAACCGCCCCACATCTTCAAAATAATCATCCCTCATAGCTTGAAAATAATCAAAATATGAGCCACTTAGCTTCAGAAACTTTACAAGTTTTATGGAATGGTAAATTAATTTCGAACATGAATATTTAAGGGGTATTGAGTTTATTGAGATAACAGAACATATAAAACTTTATTTTTGCATGCTTTATACTACCTTGAGTGCAGTTGCGATTTGCCAGAGATTAGTAAGAAAATCATCACTTGAAAACCAATCACAAGTGACTATAATACATTACAAGAGTAACTCAAATGCTTGCCAAGAGAATCAGTGTGTCCAGCAATACTCAACTACAGTACATAGTACAGGCTTATAAACCAAACAATCTTTTTTCCCTTGAAATACTTACAAAAGATTAATTAAGATCAGTGTGAGGCTAATGAAAGATAGGCTAAGAAGTAAGAACACTACTGAAAACAGAGTAATTGAAACAAATTAATTACTAGTTAAAATTTTCATTTCTTCTTTGAGGAATTTTATCAAACACCATAGTTACATTCCAAGTTCCTATCAATATTAGCCTATTAAGCTATAAATTTCTCAATCTACCGGATGTTAGTGAGTATTAATAATACAATGAGAGAGATTGAGAGAATAACAAGTATTAATAATACACTAAGTTGAAAATATCATTACTGGATATTAGTGAAATCAAGTTTGAAAAACAAGGTAATTTTTGTATTTCTTATAAACTATTCTATACTCATTGGTTTGGTTTTCTTCTCTTCTAATGAGAGATATTGAGAGGATAATGACACAAAGAATTTCCTATTACAGAAACCAAGAACTGAGAAAATATAGGGTTCAACTTATCTATACATCTTCCGCTACACATGACAAGAACTTAGAATCCATTAAGACAATAACAAGCAATCCTAACACCTTATGTGCATATAATCCCTGCAAAACATGTAACCTCAATGAAATATGACATGCCAAAATGTATAGTGTGAAATGGTGTAAAAATGTGAATGGAAATGATGTTTTAATTGGCTTGTAACGATATAGTATAGAGTAAGTGAGTATCGTTCCGCTAGAGAATGGCTCAAAAAGAGAACTAGAATTAATGATTGATTTTTAGCTAATCACAAATTGATAACATTTTGCAATGGAGCTAAGTGAACAGATTTTTTTATCTTGTTTTTATAAATGTGAAATTGCTAGGAAATAAAATAAATCACAATACTTGATAATTTAACAATTAATGATATAGTGAAAATTAGGCTTGGGCTAAGAGTGATTTTATTTTCATGTTCATAATAATAAAGATTTAACTGATTAACTTGATTACTTTTAGGTGTATGAAAGATTTTCAAATGGTAATCTTCTAATCGTTCCCACGACTTAGTTGATTACACTATCTTAAATTAATTCCACTCCCGCGGTAATTTTATTAAGACAGTAAAAAGTACACAATCAAATTATCCTAAATTCCTTAACACTTCCGTGTAGCAATTTAGTGGGTGAATTAACTAAAGGGATTTTTAATGAAACTCCACTCCCATGATAATATTCATTTCCCAATATAATGTATTTAGCAGATTAGAACATTCAACCCAACACCCTAAAATTAACCAAGTAAAAGTTTTAACCAATTATTATCATATGAACATTAACAGTAAAATTTACATCTTGCCCAAGCCTAAACTAATTTAGTTACACATAATTATAGTAAACAAAATAAGAGTAAAATTCATGCTAGGCATAATTAAATTAACAGATTAAAGAAATTAAAGTAGTGTTTAAATAAGAACCTGAAGGCATAAATATTCAAGAACATAGAAGAGGCTGGAACAGAAAAGATTGAAATCCTCAGATTAAGCTGGAACTGATTAACTTCGAACTGATATCTCCAAGTGAACTTTATTGTTGAAATATATAGAACTGAAATTCTGGAATGGAAATTACAAACTGAATTTTACAGAAAGTGTTCCTGAAAGAATCACTTTTATTTTATTGCTACTAATATGAACAAAGTTAAAGAAAGAAGAGGGAGATTTCTCTTCGAATTGGTGTGTTCTTTGCAGCTCCCAAATGGCTCTTTATATAGGCAACTTCATAATAGTATGGAGCACAAAAGTCATATGATGAAGATGATGATGGAATTGAGTTCCTATTGAAGAATAGTGCTCTGGACTCATTTTTCTTCTTCCTCGCGGCGCCTGAAATGAAGTCTCTAGTGGAACTTTTGGCTTGTTGCTCAATGATGAAGATGGTATGTATGTAGATATTCAAATGTGTGGAAGAAACTAAAGGCCATCACTATTCATGGGTCCCTCTATATTTATTTATTTATTTACATCTTGAGAGTTGAGACTTGAGAGCTCTCAATTCATACGTATGGGTCTCTTTCAATATTCACAAATGAGTGAATAGTTTTGTCAACCAAAGTTTTGGCTTCACTTCTGCCACTTGCTTAGTTTGGCCAGTTAATTGTTTGATCAGTTAACTGGTCATCAATTAACCGGTACATTTTATTGCGGACAGTCTGACTTATTCTGAAATGTATTTCGGGGCTCTTGATAAAATATTCCGGAGTTAAAATAAGGATCCGCTTCACTTTGATGATTTTTCCGTCTTCACTCGGGAGTAATATTTATTTCTTTTCAGAAATTAACTTACATCCCGAATTGCCCTGAAATTGACAAAATATACCAAAACAAGTGTAATACCTTAAAATGTCCAAGATGATAAAAATCAATCCTTTTTATTTAAAAATGAGAAATAAAATACTAAAAGTGTGACAAAACAAGATCGTAAATATGGTAAATTAGGAGCACATCAAAATACAAAACTCAATTTGGTCAGACAAGGTTTCTACAAAAAATCGTTTAAAGAAAATATTTTTACCTGGACAGTCTGGAGTCTGGACTGCAGGACGCTGGAGAGTGGAGAAGCAGATTCAATATTCAACAAAGAACCGTATCTGGAAATGGATGAGAAGAAGATTCATCACCCAGCCGCCATTCCATCGAAGAGAAGAAAGTTTGGTTTTAGGTCTAGACAGTAAAGTAAGAGGCACACTCTTCATCGGTACAAAAAGTCAAAAAAATGCAGCTATTGTTTAAAAGGTCTGGCGCGACTAACTATCTTCCTAGGCAGGTGGTTTATCCGGCGATTCCTCAGTCTGGGCGGCCGATTAGTCGGGGGAGCGACTATAGCAGCGACTATTCCATTGACACGTGTCCTTTCCTCTTGCAATGCGCACAGACGAGTTTGGTGCAATCAGTTTTCTCCTGCCGCCCCTTAGTCTGCCGGTCCGCCTGAAGTGCGAATGCATGAGTGTCAACATGATTGTCAACTCCCACAGTTTTCCCACGAGCGATAGCCCGAGAGTTTTCCTCTTGAAGAAAAAGCTTGATAAGCTCTATTCAAGTCCGGCAGCGGGGTGTGTGCTAGGAGATTAGACCGTACTATATGTCCTGTACACCTCATCATCGATACCGATCAGGAATTGGTGTAATTGCGCGCTCTTCATCTCAATTGGCGGTAAGCTTGACAGCAAGTGTCACGCCCCGGACCTGCCCGGACACGTCAACAACCCGCCATACAATACGAATAGTCGACCACAGTCAAGCACATCCATATTATACAAGGCGTCTCGAATATCATTCACACATAAGCCATCCATAAACAACATAATAAGCAATCGAATACGTAGCGGAAAACATAGTTAGAAAACAAATGCCACACGTGGCAAACATGAGCACGCAGGCTCTATAGTAAAATATTCATGAGCATGTTTATTAATGTTTAAAAACAGAATGGAGGAAGCACGAACCAAGTCTTCCCTCCTAGATGATCTCTCGAGCAACGAGCACAGGAAGACAACTCTAGCCTCAACCTGAAAAATGGTAGTGGGACGCCCCCGAAGGGGTCATCACTCTATAGGGCTATAAAGTGCTGATGTGGATGTCATCTAATAGATATACAACAAGTATTTCAAACACAAGACCCTCAAATAGGGTCATAATATAATCTAGGCTGTAAGGAAGGTCAAATCCATGGCAACCACTTCCTCTCCCTCCGTCTTGTTCTCAGCCACCGCAAAACCGCCGCAACAAGCCAAGCCTCAAATGTACAAGCCGCCGTCTAAGCCTCCCTTAGCAAACATAACAGCCGCCGTAGCGGCAACAGCATTAGCCACCACGATACTGACTGCGACACCGCCCTCCCTTGCGGAATCCCCGACCTACTCTGTATACTATGGCACGGCCGCCAGTGCCTCCAATTACGGCGGCTACGGAGGAAATTCGGACAAGAAGGCGTCGGCGGAGTACATCTACGACGTGCCGGAGGGGTGGAAGGAGCGTCTGGTGTCCAAAGTAGAGAAAGGAACCAACGGGACGGACTCGGAGTTCTACAACCCGAAGAAGAAGAGTGAGAAAGAGTATCTAACATTTCTGACGGGATTCAGGCAATTGGCGCCGGCAGATGTGGTCCTGAACAATTTGGCGCTGTCGGATGTGGTCTTACAGGACCTCATCGCCAGCTCCGACGGCGTTCGATCGGAGGAGAGGAAAGACGAGAAAGGGCAGGTGTACTATGACTACGAGATCGACGGGGCAGGAGCTCATAGCTTGATCTCTGTTACATGTGCTAAGAATAAACTGTATGCGCATTTCGTTAATGCGCCGTTGCCGGAATGGAATCGCGATGAAGATACATTGAGGCATCTTCACCAGTCCTTCAAAACAGTAGGATGATTAGCAGTTTTCACTGCAATAAGATCAGATCGTTACTGTACGATGCGGTAATGATCCTTGTGTTTAAGGATTCTTACTCAAAGGTCTGTAATTTTCGTTTGATGAAATCAATATCATCTTTTGCTCTCTTCAAGTGAAATGAAAGAATTTGTGCTCAGATATAACACAATCAAACAATTCTGTTATGCAAAAAAAAAAAAAAAAAAAAAAAAAAAAAAAAAAAAATCTAGGCCGTAACCCCTAGTTGCCCCTTTTCAAAATATACTTACTTATATATAAAGTTAAGTAGTCGGCCCGTAGGCCCAAAGTTTGTTACCAAACATAGCCCAAACCCCTTGACCCCTAGTCACAACAATACATAGGGTTCAACCCTAACACATATGTTGCATTTCTCGAGTCCAACTCGACTACATCACCATGCACCTTATTTAACACAAGTTAATTACTCCACCGTGCATTTCTTGAGTCCAACTCAACTACATCACCATGCACATCAATCACCACATCATGTCTACCCAATGCAATTCTATGAGCACGGGTTCAAGTACATCTCCTTACATTGGCATAGACCCCAATTCCTAAGCACTCGCTATGCCTAGAATTTGTAATATCAATAATCTATTTTGGGACATCCTTACGGACTGCCCAACCATGATCTTAGCATCACATTACATCAATTTAGTCACTTGCATCACAATCAAGTACATCAATTACAATCAAATCCTTAGATTCAATTCCTTAACAATTACAACAATCATTAACTAGTATTTCAATGCTATTAAGATTTATCCTTATCCATCATGTATCCCATTTGTAAAACCCTACATATTTAGAGATATGTAGCAGCAACTTAATCATCCAATGTAATACATAAATAATCATTTATGTATCTACACAAATCACACATGAGTAAAATGCCTATTTCACACAATAGTTCATTGAACTCCATTTTTATCAATACTTTACCGAATCATTTCCCATTTCATTCTTTGGAAAATAGATCAATATTCCATTGATAATTTATCATCATAATCCATGGAAAACATGATTTAGGCATTTAGGTAATCTCATGCTTAACCTACAAGTTGTAAGCAACTAGATGTCGATCCTCACCTCAAATGAGCTTTAAAACTTTCCTTCTCGATCCAATGACCAAAGCCTCGGCCAAGGAAGCTTGAGAACTGATTACTTGCTTAGAAATGAGTGTCAAACATCCTCCTCAAAGTGCTAGTTCAACCCTTAATCGTTGGTACGAAAACAGCCCCTAGAGTGGGTGTTTTCCGGCTAACTCGTTTCCTAGTTTTCCAAGATTTGCTCTAGGTTAGTATCTAACCTTTACATAAATAATAATAACTATATAAGGACACATTATGCACTTGGAGTATTGTATAATAGTTCCACCAATCGTTCATATCATTTGGAAAATGAAAGGAAAGGTTTTGGGGTTAACAACTCACTTTAGAAGAGTAGATCCATTTCTGCGAGGTTGTGTTTTTCTCGGACGATGTGGAAGCCTTACACTACTTCGATTGATTCAAACCAGACCTTCACGGATTCCTCGTCTTGAGAGATTTCTTTTGGTATCTTACAAGCCTTAATTGGATTGGTATAACTCTAGATATCAACCAAACAGCCTCAGCACTCTCACTGCTCGAGTTTACAGACAACAGTTCACTCCAGCTCAATTTTTGTGTGATAAAATCTCCCCTCTCGCACAAAGACTACTCAAATATGAAACTAGACTTCAAAGGATATCCAAGTACACCTCATTCACGTTGTTTGGTCGAGTATAACTCCCATAATGAGTGGAGACAAACAGCACACCAATTTGTGTGAAAACTGCTCATGGAGGCCCTAAGTTGATGCTAATCATGTCTTGTGCAGCTCCCCTCCAAGATGGCCGGCCAAGGTAAGTCCTCTCACCCATTTATATTTGTCTTCCAGGTACTAATATCATGTGGAGTGGTTCCCAATTGATCCCAATCATTTTGGGGTCCAAAATATCTACCAATACTTCCAAAAATGGGAAGATGGGTCCTATTGTTTTATCCTTTGTCAAAGATGTCTTTTTGTACTCATCCTAATTTATTTAGAACAAGTCAACTCCCTACATAACATTATTGATCTCCAATATGTGTAGGCTCATCTCAATAATTTACTTGATAGATATCATAGAAGGAAAATCTCACTCCCATTATTTAGTTCAATAATGTCAAAGATGGGGCTATAGGTATTTGTATTCTTCTGTAATCATTCCATTACTTATTTTGACATTTGTCATACATATTATTGGGCTACTAGCCGTGTGGGTCACTCCCGAGTGGGTCTAGGACGCCATTCTCGAATACTTGCTATTTTTAGCAGGTTGGGCCCAAAATAATATTTGGGTCGCCCGACCTTCCTCAAATTGTCTTGAAAGGTTAAGTAACAATATTTAAGTAAGACCCAAATAAGTATTTGCAAAACCCGACACTAATATACGAGTTTGAACAGTACAATATTCAATCATGCCCTACGTAAAACATAAATTGTTCTACAATTGTTTGGTAACCCGGAAATTCAATACATAACTTTGAATCTTAAATTGAATTTTCAAGGACGCTCGGGTGCGGTGTCACAAGTTCACCCCCCCTTAACAGGAATTTTGTCCCCGAAATTCACAGCTCTACTCGAATAGGAAAGCATATTGCTTCCTCATCAAAGCCTCTGTTTCCCATGTCTCTTCTTCGACCCAATCGCTCTTCCAAAGGACTTTAACCATTGGGACCTCTTTGCTCCTCAATTTCTTCACCTTTTTATCGGTGACCTTGATAGGTTGCACAGTGTAGTTCAAATCCTCACGTACCTCTTGATAGGCTCGTTCCGTTCCTATCTTTCACTCATATTTTGGGTGTTAATTGTCTAATTTTTATAATTAATCGGGTGACTATTGGGGGTTTTGAATGAAAATTTGTTATTTTCCGGTCCCGGTGGCATTCATTTTTAGTTTAGTAGTTTTCCACACAATTTGACATTTTTGGAGTAATTTGATTGTAAAATTGCATATTATTAGCGGGTGTGGTGAGTAGTGATTTTACAAGCTGAAGTTTGCGGTGAATAACACGATGTATTTGGATCGGACATTTTGAGAATCTTGTTAAGATTAATTTGGCACAGCAGCCCAAACGAAACAAGCGGCAGCTTGTTCATTTACTAGCAGCCCAAAAAAAAAGACCAGCAGGATTTTTTTTTCCTGGAACTAGCAGCCCAACCGGCCTATCCATTTTTTCATTGAGAGCACAAAACAAAGAGCAGCAGTTGAGGACTTCGTATTGTTTTCATCGGTTTACTTAGCCGCATGAGCAGTTTTGGTTTTCCTTCAGAATTAGCTAGCCGCAGATTCCATACTTCTTTGTTCTGTCAATTAGCCGCAGCCGGCAGTAACTAGAAGACCAGCAGCCAACCGCACAATTCTTTCATTCTAAGCACTGGAGCGAGTTCATTCTCTTCTTCTTCACTTAGCAGCAGCAAGGAGATACCAGGCTTCACTTTTCTTCATTTTCTTTCAATTCAATTTACATTCCAAGCAAGAATTGTAAGTTTCAGCATTTTTTACATACTAGTTCGTGAACTTAGATTAAATTTCGAATTGGTTTGTCTCTAATTAGTAATTTCAGAAATTTTCCATTAATTACTTATAATTCAAGTTTTATCTAGCTCCTCATCATGTTTATCACTGTTATTGTGATGTTAAATTTCAGTATGATTTACTAATTCCATAAAGGGTTTGAATTGGGGCTAGGGTTATGGGTTCTTGAGGGTGTGAATTTAGTTTTTGAAATTCAATTAATTTTCTGGAAAATTGTATAAGATTAATCTTAATTGTCTATATGAATTTGATCACCCCATATATGAATTTCTGGATTTAATTCAATTCTTGTCTATGAGAAATTGAGTTAAATTAGCTTGGGTCTTATACAAGCAATCTAATCTTAGAAATAAGTTAGGATTGTGAGATTATGATTTAATTCTTGTCTATGAGAGTTTATTTCATTTTCTTTCCAGGAACAATTGAAAATCAATTTTACTTAATTCTAATCCCGAAAGAACACCCAGAACCCGAACCATCCAATTTGAACCCTGTTTTAAAATCTTGAATCAGTTTAATTTTTTTATTCTATTTATTTTTACACTCGCTGTTAGTTAGTTATTTTTATTTTATCTCATCACCCAAAAATAATTATTCGGCAAGATTACCATGACTTGTGCTAGCCTGTGATCACGGACTGTATTTAAAACTTCCTTTTTGCCACTCCTTGAGAGACGATACTCGTGGTCTGGTTAGTCTTCGGATTAGCCAACTACGTTTTACTCACTAAAAAATACACCGATCAAATGGCGCCGTTGCCGGGGAGTGGCACGGTTGTTTGTTAAGTACTTTTCTGTGGAATAGGTAAAAGCAAGTCGGTGAGACTTTCTATTCTTTTTTCCTGTTATTTGTTTGTCGTTTTTGGTGTTCTTTGCACGTGAACTAAGCTGCAGGAACCGGTGTATGCGCACTCGCTCCTCGGGGGAACAAGATTTAATTGCAGGGTATTCTAATCCTGAACGCTTATTCCGAGGAAGAGCTAAAAGGAGATTGCTAGAAGATTTGGAGAAAATGGCCGATCAGACAACTCTGGAGACATTGACGCCTAACTATGTGGCGAGAAATAGCATTGGTGCACCCACCATTGAGGCCAACAATTTTGAAATCAAACCGGCCATGATTCAGATGCTTGCCAATAATCCATTCTGTGGATACGCCCATGAAGATCCAATGGAGCATATTGAGAGCTTTATTCAGACTTGTGCCACGTTCAAATATAACGGGGTATCCAGCGAGGCAGTGAGGTTGACTTTATTTCCATTCTCGTTGAAAGACAAAGCTTCACGATGGCTCCGTAGCTTTCCAAACGGGCACTTTGATACATGGGAGAAGCTTCATCAGACATTTATGCAGGAGTATTTTCCTCCCTCTGCCGCTATCAAGGTTCAGACAGAAATTCTTAATTTCACTCAAGCTCCGACCGAATCTTTTAGTGAAGCATGGGATAGACTGAAGACGCTAAGAAGGAAGTGCCCTGAAACATTCATGAATGCAGCAACAATTATGTGCAGATTTTATAATGGTCTTCGGTTGGAGT